AAAAACTGTCATACTGGAAGTCTAACCCGGGGCCCCCCACATGCTCAGTAAGCACCCTGTCACAGAGCTACACCAGCATTACTACCTTATTTACGTGTTTATGTGTATTACACTTGCGGTCCATTACTACATTATGTTTCTGTATAAAGGAGAATTTTTGTAAAACAATTGTTTACTTTGTATGAAGTACTAGAACTGTGTATTCCATTTTCTGCCACTAATCATTCAAAGGTGTCAATGGCATGTTTCACATTGACTCATGAGTACATCATAGTTCTGCTTATAGTGTTCATTTAATGCCATTTTCTCCTGTTTTCTTTAATAAATGGAAAATAGGTGAAAAAAAGTAATGGGCACTGTAACAGTTTTCATTTGGGGTGTGAAGTATTCATCTTTCTGCTATCAGTAAAACTTTGTTAAAACAGCTGTAATTTATAGAGTTGTGGGTACATTAAAGGTAATAGAAGATATCCAGGTATGGTGGTTTATTTCTCTACTTCAGTCACTTAGTGTGGTGGCTTAACAGTCAACCAGAACACCAAGTCAGCATGGTTCTGGGCATGGAAACCCGCCTGAGTATTGTTGCCAGTGGCATAAAGGTAGAACTGGAGGGAAGATTGTATCCTGTTGACTTTTCTGGAAAAGCTTGCTGCAGCTAGTTTTCCTAATATGAAAACCAGCCACAGCTGTTCTTGTCCTCAGAGGCGTTCAGGTCCTCACTGTGGCCAGAGATGACTGCTATTCTTTTCAGAGGAGCTCTGATCTTCACCTTGAGCATTGCTTAGTGACCTCTGCCTATCCCTCCTCCCGGTGGTACAGATCCTTCACCCCGCTGGTGCAGACTTTGTCTTCCATCACTGGCCTGTGGGCCATCCCAGTGCAGATCCTTGACACAGACTTCATGAAATGTTATTGTGGGCTCTGAACCTCTGACTGGACTTGTGGAGGACACTGCCTGGCCTCTGGGCCTTCAGCTGGTCTTGTACAGGACATTGCCATGGGATCCAGTCCCTCAGCTGTATTCTTCAGGTCTCTTGCACGTGGCCAGATCTCTTGCACTCCTCTGCATTTGACTTTTTGGGTAAATATTATAAAATAATCCTGTTAATTGTGTGTCCTGTATTAAATTTATTCCTTTGCAAACCCTCACTACAACCCTTGGGAAGCTGTGATGGGATGATCATTTGTGCCCAAAAATGTGAGGTCAACCTGGGCAGCATATACTTTGTATCCAAAAAAAGCCCACTGTACCATTTACCTATAACCCCAGCTCCTTGGGAGGCTGAGACAGGAGGTCTGAAGTTTGTGGCCTGCCAGGGTAATTTAATGAAATCTTTCCTGGAAATAAAAAATGTAAAAGCTAGGTTATATAGTTCAGTAGTCGCTTGCATAGCCATTGAAAGGCCCTGGGATCAATTCACAGTATCAGAAAAAAATAGACAGCAAAAGACACCTTCATGTGCTAGAAATATATTCATGTCTCCTAAACCTTTTGTATTTTTTAATCTGTTTCACATCTTTGCAAAGACTCTTTTGTTCTCTTTTGGAATGTTTTAGGAAGCATTAAAGTGCTGGGAAGGAGGGTTCAGGTCCCAAACAGCTCTTTTATGGAACCCAGTGTGCAGTTAGGGATGCACTCTGGCTGCTCCTGTCCTTAACACAAGGAGTTAAAAGAAAGGAGGGGTCTCCCAGGGTCTCTTTTGGTTTACATGAGTTTCCTTGGTCAAATCATTGGGAATGCTGTGGCTCTGGAACAGTTTATGATCCTCCCTAAGCAGTATGTGCATGAGGACATCTTAAATCATCTGCATCAATACCATGTTTTTCTAGGTCTGTCTGGAGCACATTTCCAGGTTTCACTTTCCAGCACGAACCCTACTTTGCTTATTCTTGCTAACAAATACCTTGAAATTTTTGCATAGTTCTCTGTAAATTCCTACGTATTATGTCCAGGTGACACTGGGATGAAATAGAATAGTGGAATCCATGTCACAAAGCACATGGCCCTTGACTGAACTATATGCAGTGTCCCATGATCTCCAGTTCTATGCTAAAACCACAGTCACAGTATCAAAGCTGGTAGTGATGTGAGAAAGAGGTGTGCTGATTTGTTCCAGCTGAAGGATATGGTCAGATTTCTTGTCTTCCTTACCCATCTGAAGTCGCCTGGTACATTCCTACCCCGCCCCAATCTGAGATGTTCTGTAGCGCATTAGCTGACACCTCCACTAGGTACTCATTTAAATCCCTGCCACAACTGTCCTGCTCTAGGATTAGTTTCTTGTTTTGTTTTGTTCTATGTTTTTTTTGTTGGCTTTTTGTTTTGTTTTGTTTTGTTTTTTGAGGCAGGGTCTCACTATGTAGTTGAGACTGACCTGAAGCTCACTTATGTAGCCCAGGCTGGTCTCAGCGATCCTCCTGCCTCAGCCTCCCGAGTGCTGGGATTAAAGGTGTGAGCAACCACGCCCGGCTTTAGGATTAGTTTCTTTGTATCTTTACTAAGGCCAGCACTTTGTTTCTTCTCAAAGAACATCCAGCCTGCAGACTTCCTGCACTGGAATGGATGGGAAATTGTTTGGGTTGTGCATTTCTAAGGCAGCTATTTCTGCACTATGTGGACCAGAGGCATGCTGAATGCCTTTCTCATCACAGTAGGTTGGAAAAGTCACAATTAGGTAGTTTTCTGCTAGGAAGTACTTTATCACTTGGGATGAACTGACAAAACTT